GAGTTGTAGGACTAAAGATTGTATGACTGACGGATGGAAGTAGAGGTATTTCCCTGAACCTAATTACTGTGTGTTGTGGGGGTTGTTTGTGTTTGCAGAGATTGTAGAATATGCATGTTGTAGAGTTATAAGGAGATGTGCTCTAGAACGGTTTAGAATTATGATGTGTATATTTTTTATGCATTGATTAATAGATTATTATATAATATATAGATTACATGTGAAGAAAATTTAGATTTGTATTAAGTGTAAATAAATATAAGAAAATATTCATTTGTTAGAAGAAATTCTGCCGAAATTTATATTAGAAATTTGTTGTATTAAGTGTAAACAAATGTAAGAAAATATTCATATATTAGGGAGGATTCTGCCAAAATTTACATTAGAAATTTGTTGTATTAATGTTAACAAATGTAAGAAAATATTCATATATTAGAGGAGATTCTGTCAAAATTTACATTAGAAATTTGTTGTATTAAGTGTAAATAAATGTAAGAAAATATTTATATATTAGGAAAGATTCTGCCAAAATTTACATTAAAATAGTGTAATGTAAAATAAAAGGTTGATACAACATTGTGTATTTATGTATTTGATCTCTAAACATATATTATATTTGATTCAGATATGATAGGTAAAGCTAAGAAAGGTGTTGCTCAGCGTTCTGATTGTAGGGGGCAGGAGTAGTTTATCATGGTGCCCAACCTAGGATATGTTGCTCCTTCCCCTCCAACACAGAAAGTTTCACAGTCTGTATCACCAACTACACATGTCACACAACCTCCTTCTACACAGGGCACAGGTGAAGGATCCACTGCTGTCTCAACTGTAAGTGGACAACAATCATCACAGACCCAGGCATTATCGAGATCGCTTCCAAGTTTAAGATGGAATGGGTCTACTTGGTAAGTTAAATTTAAAATATGACTAATAACTCTATTTGATATGAATGTTATAATAATTGTATTATTTTATTGTGTGTTAAGTTGGATACCAATGCAGAAGAGTCTCCACCAGGTGACAAATACCATTAAGAAGATGTTTGATGTGCCTTATACAAATTTTGCAAAGGCACCTAGGGATACAAAAATGAAATAGTTCAAAGATTGAAAGGTAATAACAGTTAATTAATTTCAGCTAAGTATAATTAGATATTGTTTCTTGTAGCTCTTCTAATGAAATTATATTTATGTAGAGCAATTTTTCCATTCCCCTCATGATGAAAAGATGATTTTCAAGGCCCAAAAAAGTCGCACTGCAAAACGACTAAGACAAATGTATACTGAGACTTGTCAGGATTCATCATTAGGATCTATCAGAAGGTGGCATCAAGGATGCAGAGGGAGGTGCAACAGCAAATGCAGCAGCAACATATGTAAATGTAGTAAAGGCATGTATACTTTGAGCTCATAGTTTCACACCTTTTCTTCCTCTTCCTCCACCAGCTCCAACACCACCAGTCTTTAGCTCCATGTGTCATTCCTCTTTCGACTCTTCCTCTACTGATAGCAATACTTTTTTAAAAGATAATCGCACCAATTATTCGTGATATACACTATTATTTTATTTTTGACATTTTTTATTTGGATGTTTACTTCTTCATTTGTAATGATATTTTAATTTGATATTTTATAAATAATTTTTTATTTTGAATATATAATTTTGTAGTTTTCATTATGTTCATAAATTGTGATAATTAGTAACAACGGGGATAATTATGTTTGTTAAAAACAATAGAAATTTTTTTTTGAAATTTCACAGACGAATTTTTTTGTTTGTAATTATAGACAGATTTTGACGTCTGTAACTTACAGAAGAATTTTACCGTCTATAATTACAAGTAGATTTTTTTCATCTATAATTATTTATCAACATGCATATTATAGACAAACTAGAACCATTTATAATTTTAAATCCATCTATAATAATTAAAAAATTCATCTGTAAATCTGTTTTTATTTATGGGATTTGTAGTAGTGCTTCTTTACCTCCCTCAATGTCATCATTTTGTTCATAAAATTAGCAGTTGTGGTTTAGACAAAAGTGCTCATAGTAGACGTGAATATCACATTTGTTTCTCCTTTATCTAGCCATCATTTCTTAGAGGTTACTGTTTATCCTTAAAGGTTTTAACTTTTTATCTAGTTTTTCATTAGCGAACTAACTATAAAACATTACTCAATTCATGATAACTTAGAGTTGCACTAAAGTTGAAAAAACTAAACACATCTAATATCTCATCATTAGTTCTAGACTATGTTCTACCTTATTTCCAATGAATTCGACACTTACATCATCTTATAGCTGCAAATTACCTCCATAGTGCACATGTAATGTCATTATATTCAGGATTGGAAAAATAAATTAAAATATAACACTATGTTGTATTACACATTTACATGAAAAAAAAAAAGAAGCATGTAGTGGGGGACTATCTCCATAAACTTGAATCAATGTTAGATACAATCAATAATGAAATGTCAAATAAAATACAAGGGAACCACCTATGTATGTCACACAACTATTGGTAAATTTTCATCATCATCCAATAAAATATCTTATTCACAGGAAAATCACATGTCATAACAGCACAAAAATATGACACAGAAGAGACAACAAACACATTTAACTTTGTCTTTTCTCAAATTGGATAATGCTCTAAAACTTCTACTATATAGTGATTCAATTGAAAATACAATGGTTTAGGATCACACTCCCTACAATTGTTGTAAATATAATTCTTCTTCAACAAAATTTGATCAATTGATAGTCTTCAATTATGATCATATAAAAATAAAAATAGTAGAGAAAATTTTGAAAAGTCTGAGACATAATAGAATAGTTTCTTCATGGTGAAAAATGAAAGTTTTGAAAATTAAGGCACTATAAACATATCAAAATACACCATTAGCCTTATAATGTCTTTTTATACTCTTAGTAGATTCAAAATTAACTCATTACTCTAATTTTTAACATCACTTAACGACAAAATTTAATGTGAATGACAATAACTAACATTAAAAGTCAATGTAATATTTTTAAAAAGTTAAAAATAAATTTAACAGACGTACATAATTTTAGAAATAAAAGTGGATATTCACTCATATTAAATACTCTACTTAAATATAAAAATTGCATAGTACCAACTTACGATGCATGGGTTCATATGAAATTTTTAGCACAACAATTTCTACTCAATAATATTCATATAACTTTTAAATGAATCTAACTAATAGAAGAAATATTCCCAGGTTGTTTTGAGAAAGCTTAATATTTTTAAAATAAGATTGACAATCAAGACATTAATTTATATTTTATTAGCTTATTATAATTACATTAAAATTGAATTAATAATATCAATATTATAGAACATGAATAATAAATTAATACAAAAGTTATTATAATTACATTAAAATTGAATTAATAATCATCAATATTATAGAACATGAATAATAAATTAATACAAAAGTTAAGTTAATCAAATTTGAAGTTAATATAAAAAAAATCATGTTACATATTACATGTCCTACTAAATAAAAAAACTCACTAATAAATAACAAAAGGTTAAAAATCTATACACAAATTTCATATAAAACAACTATACAAATCTTTCTATTTGTTTAATTAAAAATATTAGAAAAATGAAATTAATATTTTAACTTTTGAGTTGTCCAAACTAATGATCTAACCTATATAAATCTAATCGATTAAATCACCTATCTAATTTTTGTAACTATGCCAGAAATAGTCAAACACTATAGAAGGAGAAATTAGGGTGTGATTCAACACTGTCAGTTGTCTATTATCTCAGCCAATCATCAAACCACAGTTGACAAAATTCTAAATTAAAAAGCATTACCGCATACTACTTCGCGAGTGAAGGAGACCATGAACACTTGGAGTGGTCAAGCAGTCACACGACACAATCAGAGGATTCTGGAGACGAGATGTTTAGGAAACAACAATGAAGGGACCAAGGCATTTCACATCACAGGGAACATAATCTCAAACGTTGGAGCAATGAAGTTGGAGAGAAGATGTTTCAAAACGCTGCCGTTTTTTGTGATTTTGGACATATTTCTACCATTCCCACGCCATCGTCCACACGAGTGGATGAGTTTGTTCCAGAAGTAACGTTACTTTAACATTTGACCTGGATGTTTATAGTGGATATTTTATAGAAATTAAAAATCAGTTATACTATAGTTAGTTGTATAGAAACTAAATAAATGTTAAAATAACGTTAATGTTGTTTGAGTCTCGTGGAATTTTCTCTTAAGTGAGTTTAGCTTGTCTGGTCCATACCTACATATTTACACCCAATATATATATATCCAAATCATTATTTGGTTTGTGCATATTATAGGACTAAGACAGAAACCTACCAATCATTCTCATCACAAATTCTTACACACATCGTCAAGTTTAGCGTCGAAGAAACGACATTAAAGAGTGAGTGAGAGTTTGGTTTCTCTCATGATGATAAAATAATAACATGATTAAGGGGAAGAGATAAAGATATAAATTTTATAAAAATAAAAGCCCACGTTAATTAGTTTAATTGATTGTAAGTTGTACTAAATAAAATCATTAAAAATTGTATATTTTTCTCTGACATGACTATATTACGTTACTCAATAATATAAAAAGATTTATATATATATGTTAACCGAAATAAAATTGATTTACATCGAATAAGTTATAGGTTTGAGTTTTCACCTTCTTGAAGTGAGATATAATTATATAAATATTTTTTTCAATTAAAAACTTTTCATATATTAAAATGAGACAATATCTCTATTTCTTTAAGTTTTATTCCTTTTTCATGAAAATATAGTTTTTTACTAAGCTTTGCTTTGAATGAATATTTTCTTAATAAATAGTAAATGTGAATTTGTAACACAACCAATACTTTTATGCAAGTATCATGATGATTTTATTTTTACACATTTCATTGTACCTTGTATAATTTGCATTGTTTATATATCACTTGATTGTTACATCATATATCTTACGCCACACTTATCTCCCTTCTTCTCTGAATTATAGAGAAGGTTACACATAAACATTGAACAAATATTTTTCTCTAGCACAATATTATAACCTGAAAATATACTGTCATAAAATTTAAACATGAAAAGTCCTCACCGTACCACTCTCCCAGTGGGAAATCTTCAGGGTAGTTCAAGGGGTGACAACACACTAAAGTGGGTAAGCTACTAGTGGCAGTTATAGCGTGGGCTCACACCCTCGTTTCCTGCCAAGACCAAATACTTGTCTTTCCTGGTCAAGTTGGTGCATGCAAATCCTAAAGCACTGCATATCTCATTTTGCACAAAATTGGCCACTTCAATCCTCGATATTCCACCAGGTTGACATGTTTGCTGTTGTGGTAATTTCTCGAGAATTTTAATGAAGTATTCAGGACTTGGGTTCATGAAGTGGAAAAAAGGGTCCAAAAATTTATGCCCACTCGCTGTTGTTCCATAAAACATGCTAACCTTAACATCCACAGCAATAGGAACAATATCATCTGTAAGTTCAGCAAACAAAGGACTAAACCTTAACAAATAAGGTTCCCTGCAAGTTGTTCCCTCAGGACACACCACAAGGTTTCCGTGGCTCAGCAATTTGATCATTATTTCCCTGTCTCTATCTCTGTCCCTGGTTAGTCTTATAGTTCCGATGGGGGAAACCAGTTCATTTAATCTGCTTAAGCTGTATGTGACTGCAGAAAGTGGTTTTTGTAGTACTATTGCAATGTAAAGTGGGTCAAGCAAGGTTCTGTGATTGCTCACATAGAGCATGCCCTTTTGATTTTCTTCATTGAGGACCGAAGACAAAGTGCTCTGGGGTCTAGAACCGGTGGTTCTTGTCCCTGAAAAGGCCAATATTGGAGCTGAAACGTGGAGTGGCAATGCTATGCCACTTATAAATCTAAAGAAACAAAGAAATAACCCAAATGGTAACCACATGAACAAGGCAAGAGAAGATACAAGAGTTGGCCTGAAAGCCAATCTTCCATCATGGAAGATCAATGGCTTCAGATACCTCTCTCTTGGAAGAACACGGCAATTTCTCCTCTCTTCAGAACTTAACATTAAGCAAAACTCCTACACAAAAATATTTAGAAACAGTTATATAGAATAAACTAGTGAATGTACACACGTGTTTGTTAGTTAAAGAGAGTTTTATAACATAAAAGGCATGACATGAGTGTGGTTATGAATGATTGAATGTTATTTTATATTTTTTATCAAACCTTGAATTGGTGGAAAAGCTCCTCCTGATCAATAAACTCAACATGGTTACCTATAATACCAATACTATTGTTGTTGCCCTCTTTAGTACCCACATTCATTTTATATGAAGGGATTTTATTTGGCTTCTTTTTCTCAAACACTCCCAAAAAATACCCACTGAAGGACTTCAAGTCTCTTGCTATAACAGCCTCAACCGCTAAATAGTCCTTCAAGAAATTTTCAACCATGATCCTAGGCAACTTACTAGATGCCACCTTTCTCTCACAACACATTACAGCTTCAAAACCTTCCCACCCCATATCTTCTAAGAAGAACTTTGGCAGAACAGCTGATCCTATTCTGAATGTGTCCTTTCTTATGCCAAAAAAGCACAAGAAAACCATGATCTTCAAGCCTAGTTGGTCTTCACCCACCAGCCACACCAAAGGGTATGAAAGTAACAATATGAGAGATCTTAGAATCCCACCAGCTTCAAATGCAACCAGCATGAAGTAAGGGAACAATGAAGTGGATCGTAACACAGTGCCCTCAAAATCAAAAACTAGTGTTTTATTTTTTGGATTTGCCGGTGCCGATGTGTTGTTGACTAGAGAACTGGTTCTCATTTTGCTGAAATTGGGCTTCATTGTGACAAAGGAAGGGATTTTAGCTCTACAATTTCTGGTGTCCCGAGATTTATAAACATGATATAATTGAAAAGACCTACGTAATTTTAAAAATGTTATAATTCATAATACCCTTTTAAATTATGAGGACAATTTTTTTTCTAATAATTGTTATATGTGTATTTATATATGTATATATCGTTTCCATTCCATTAGATGTGGTAAACACAATTTACTTATCTAAGCATAAATGGAGTATAAGCATAGAATTATAAATAAATTTAGAAGTAATTTTTCAGTATTTTTAGTATAAATTTTAATCTTAAATTTTACTTCAATAATGCCTACAATAAATTAATACAAAATTCTATAATAAAATTTTATGTATAATTAGAGAATAATACTCAAATAACTATTTTATCAACACTAACAAAAAATAATTATATGTTATAAATTTATAATTTATTTAAAAAAATTATAATAATAAATGGTTAGATTAACCTTTCATAGAATAAATGAATGAATATGTTCACTTTTAAAAGTAAGTGTGTCTTATTAATACAAATTTCACAATAAATAAAAATATAAAAAAATTAACAATTAATCCATTTAAAATATGTATATGTTAAAAAAATATTATTTTTTAATACAATTGTAAGAATAAAAAGAAAAGATAAAAATAAAATAAATAATATGATAATAAGAGATAAAGAAAAAAACTGTAAAAAGTATGATATATTTATTTTGTAAAAATAATATAATTTAAAAATAAAAATGTGAATAGACAAAAAGAAAACATTTCTTAAAATTGTGTATATGCTCTGAGAGAGAAAGGAGAAAAAATATAATAAATATTAAAATTAATGTGATAAAAATTATTAAACATATATGTAGAGAGAGAGAAGATACGTTGTCGGGAGGTCACGTGTCCATTTCATTGGCTTTAAAATGAATCATGTCATCAACTTTGGGCTATGTTTGTGCAAATAAAGAACCGATAAGTGCTGATACCAATAATCATCCTCACAACCGTCCGTGTCTATTAGTGTGACGTCCACCTACTTAATAACTGTTTATTTTTGTTGTTATATTAATAATTGATTGGAACTCGATACAGTGAATACCTTTTTTAAATTATACTGAAATATTAAAAAAAATAATTTTTTTAAATACACTATTAACTCTATCACTAAAATTAGTAGTTATGATTATTTCACAAATATAAAAATATAGAATTTTTTTTTTTTATCTTTTAGAGTATCATAAAATTTATCTAATTATTTTTAGGAGCATTAGTTAAAATATTTTAATGCATAAAAAATATATAGTAAAAACATGACAAAAGTATATTAATAATATTTTTAGATTAAATTTTTAATCAATAGTTTTAGAATAGGTTACTTTTGTTTTAAGCTCTTTAAAACACTATGGACCAATTCTATCGTCACCCAAGTTTGTGAGATAATTAGCCTTCAAAATTATTCTCGTCGTTTTCGAAGTTCCTCCCACTAATATTGGATTCTGACATCTATGGACCAATATTATTCATATTTATATGTAAGGACGTGCAAAATACAATAAAAACAAAGGTCACTTATAAGTAAATATAATATTTATAATTTTATTTTTAATAAATTTTACAGGTTAATGATTTTCAAATATTAAATATTTAAAATAAATTTTTTAAAAATATTTTTCTTCTAGAGTAAATATATCTTAAAAATATAAAAGTAATTTTTTTATTTACATAAAACTCAATTCTATTATTTCAAAATCACTTTCTTTTATTTTTTTTTCTAAGTTAGTTTATTTATTTTTTTTTTGTATTTTAAATAACTAGTTCAATAAATTTAGTAATTGAAGTTGAAATTTAAGTGATAAAAATTTAAAAGAGATAAATAAGACAAAAGATTGAATGGAACCAAGTAATTCTCGCTTGAAATAGTATTACAGAAACTTTGTTCAAATTTTTTTTATTTTCTCCTCCCAAATAGTATGTAAACATATTTCTCAAATCTAACAACTAAAATAATTATAATCTATTTGCATTCTCATACTTTGAATTGTAATATTTGTAAATATCATATACTTATTAAAATTTTCTTAAAAATAAATAACCTGATTAGATCAAAATAGAGATAATGACTAAAAAGAGATAGTTGAATGTTAAAAAAATGTAAAAAAATTATTTTTTATAATTTTTGTTAAAATTATACCATATTCGCTTAAGCTAAATATTTTACAGTGATAAACATGCAAAATTTATTAATATTCACTTAAGTTATTATTTTTAGCTTAAATTAAGTTAATTTCATTTAAGTGAAAATATGATACACACTTCGCTTAAGCTAGATTTTATTCGCTTAAGTAAATATTAGAATATCTTATGTGACTTGAGTGAATTAATGACTGCTTAAGCGATATATATAGTTATAGTGCATCATTTTCTTAAGGTTCAAAGAGCAATTTTATAAATTTTTACATAAGATATAAATATATGAAAATTAGTATTATTAAGTTACATGTAAAAAATCTGAACTGTTATTTTGTTTAAAATATATCAAATAATTTAAAAACGCTTACTTACTCATACACTATTTACTTGCTAACTCATGTTAGTTTGAGTCTAAAATAACATGTGATGAAACCAGGTTTTGATCAAGGATATTTTTAAATTTTATCTCTAAATATTTTATTAAAATAGAAAGATAAATATAACTTAAGAATAATTCTATTAATTTCATTGTTTATGATTAAAAATACTACTAAAAGAATACTCGTTTCAGTAAGAAATATTGTTAATTTTAAATATATTTATTTAAAATAAAAAAGTGTCATGCCCTTTCCTCCAACACCTTCTTTATACAAAATGATTCGTGAATATTTTTAGTTTAACAACAAGATCCAAGAATTTTTTAATTTAACAATAAAATTAAGCATGTGTAAGTCAAGGAACAAAAATTTTAAAATAAAAATATTATAATTTGTTTGATTCAAAGATTAAATCTTCAATCATAAGACAATATTATTAAATTTAGGGATAACAAAATTTATTATAGAGTCGTTAGGAAGTTTATATTTCAAAAAATTATTTAATACTACTCTATCTAACCTCTCTACTAAGTAAATTAAATGTCTATAAAGCCTAAATCAACAAGGCCACATATATATAAATAAGATAGAGTTAAAATTTTAAGCTACACATCATAGAAGATTAAATTTTTTACTAATACTATTACAGAAATAACTTTTAACATTGGTTAAAAAAAAATTTCTTCATTGATTAGTACATCGATGTAGATATAGCTGATGTAGAAGTGGTGATGTTTCACATTGATTAACAACTAATGTAGAAAATATATATTCTACATCGGTTATACATGCAACCAATATAGTAAATATACCTTTTACATCGACTTTTCAGAGTAACCAACGTAGAATGTAATCTTTCTACATTGGTTGTGACAATAACCGATGTAGAAAGTGTATTTACTACATCGGTTATGGTCAGAACTGATGTGAAAATACACTTTCTACATTAGTTATAGTTACAACTGATATAAAAAGTGTTCATTTATTTTTAAATAAACATTTTAATTAATGCATCTCTACACAATTTGAAATACAGAAAAATATCACATTATTTATGATTAAAAATATCCACAATTTAATAATATATAAAATGAATATATATATATATATATATATATATATATATATTAATACATATTATCTTAATCGATTATTGAAAGTTTACAAAAAAAAATTAAACTGATATCTAAAATAAACTGTGCCCAACGTATTCTGATATCTTTAATTTCCTCTTCAATGATTGGATCAGAATCTGGAAATATCTACAAAATCAAATAACAAATAAGCATTAGCTTTGTAATTATAAACAAACAAATATTCTATATTCTTATATTCAATTATATCATACTTACCACCAAAGTCCAAAATTCTGTAATACTGACTGTGATGACAATTAGCATATACCTCATGGCATAATACTCACACTCCCAACTCCCCTTTTGTTTGTGTGACTAGAAGAATAAAAAATATTTAATATCAAATAAGAAAAAGAAATGAAGAAAATATAAAAAAAATTCTAAGGTGAACACATACGTAGACAAATCCATATAGGCTTCTTTCTATTCACATGCTTACCATCAAACAGGTTACATGCTTCCATAGATCTAATGATGATGAACATTACCATAAACGAGTGAGTTAGGTAAATGTTTATGCTAATGTAAATAAGTTAAACAAATTGAATACATGTGAAGATGACTTACAAATCAATTATGGCCTTGATTTCTTTTTGGGCTTATTCCATAATGAATAGAGCAAAATGACTTTGTTACTTTTTGGACAGAGTATAAATAATTGTCAGTGTTGCCTATAAACCAAATTCATCACATTAGCTATAACGTCCAAAATTTTAAGTGTCTATTTTATGCTATTAATTAATTTTCTTGATTAATTTACATGAATAAGGTTAATAAGAGATTAATTGAATATTTATTAGAATTCAAATATATGTTGATTAGGTAGACTAGAATTAAAAATTTATAGTAGAATTTTCTCTTATGAGAGAAACTGGTATAGCTTCAGTAATTTAAATTATCATAATAAAATAATATTATTTGTCCTAGATCCAACGGTGAGAAAGCCATCTACCGTACCTTGATCCAATGACTCATAATCAACCTTGTGGCTCATTTGAGACCACAATATTTATGAACCAATCAAAATTTTCCAAGTAACTCCATTCATCATGGCCGCTTAGATATTTTGCTTTTCCTCATCTCTTTATAAATTTATCACTTCTCTCCCTCATTCTCTTGTTCATATTTCTCTTTTTCTTACCTCCATAAACTTTTCCCTCAAACTCACCTACACTTGTAATTTAGAAACATCTTTGGAATCAAATTGGTGCTCAAAGGAGGTAGGGTTCTATCTTTGTTGTTATGCTTATGTGGAGAGGTGTGGCTGCCTAGCTTATGTTTTAAATATCTTAATCCATGATTTATGTTGTGTTTTTATTATGTATAGCTGGATTAATAGTGAGT